GTGTATTAGTACCTGTGTGTGTGCTTGTTTGAGTTATATCGCATGGTTGGATTCTAAGGCCATCAAAAGAATCATTTAGTGATTTACTGCTACAATTAATAATTGTCCCAGTAAATGCCCAAACCCTACAGAACTGGTGCCTTCAGAGAGCACACTACAGGACTAATGGGTAAGCACTAATACCCATTAAAGCCAAATCTAATGTTTAATTTAATCCTGGTTACAGCAATGTAACCTACATCTACACTACACCTACTGTATACGAACAACATTATGAATTAATTCATGAAGATCTTCAAATAGGATCATTTGGTAACAGTCTCTACTAGGAATGTAGGAGGAGAACAAACTTTTATGCACTGTAACAGTAAGGCTATGGCCATACCTAGATTAAATCAATTAAGAAAGATTATTAGAATGTTTATCTCGCCTTAGAAATAAGCTCAGAAACTGGTCAGCTCCTCCAAATCAGCTCTGATAACCAGCATATCGGACATAGCAGGACAACAACCTGGACAGGACACCAGTCCATTGCAAGGAACACATACACACAACTCAGGACACTTTAGAAACGCCAGTTAAACAAGCTGGCATGTTTCTGAAAGGGTCATGGGAGAAAAAGAAAAGTCCACACAGAAATAGCCCTAGTTCAGAACCGAACCCAAAACCACTCAAGAGCTGTGAGGCAGAAACACTAACCAAGCCGCCATGCTACCAGTGTAGATGGAAAATGTAGATTAAAATACTGTACATACAGGTATGCAAAATTAAAACCATGGGACAAAAAAAAAAGGAAAACCAGGGTTTTTTTTTTTAAAATTTCGGAAAATCATGTCTTGTATTTGCCAGACAACATTTGATACATGTCACAGAAATATACCTAGGATTAGGTTCATTAGGTTCAATGACTCTCGTCATTTAGTTGGATACCAATAGCATTTTTACCCTACAGATCTCCAATGAAAAACACCCTTAATGACGTTCAATAGATGTATCAAATGACTTCTGTTTACTCCTACTGATCTTTCAAACTGCATTATCATTGGCCAATGTTTTCAGTAGAAGTTTTTTTTTTAAAACAACTTGATGTTAAACTTAGCTGCCTCATCATATGACTTTTGTTCAAGCTGTTTCTGCATCTAGAGTTATTTAAATTTTCCTTCACAAAGAATGTACTGTGGTGTTGCATTATCCCTGTGCGCATCTGCTGGACAAGTACTGATACTGAGGAATGTTTTTTAAAGGGATAAAGTATCTGATTCTAATGCAAGAGCAACATTTTTCAGAAAGACATTGTTAACTGCTCCATTTGAAAACATGTGATAAATACAGTCTGACGTTTTACTACATGTATGTATCGGGAGTGTTAAATTGCACACTGCCATCACAATAAAACACTGTTACCAATAAACTCTTTTGCTATTTTAATCTGATGTGTTAAAAAGAACTGAACTTGTGTTTGAATCTGTAAACTATATTAATCCAACATTTTGCACTTGCTTTTCGTATTTACATATATACATATGTTCAAAACTATGATATTGGTTAGTGTGTGGAAATGCCTTCTGGAAATACCATCAGGTTATATGGGTTATTACAGGTATAAGATTTTTTCAGTGGCAATAAATACATGCATTTCACAATCATACCACAGAATAGGATTTTGTTTTTTTTGTAACACATGTGCTCTGCATGGGCTGCATTTATTCACAGTTTGGTGAAAGCAGCTGGGTCTGGCACTAGTGAAATACAAATTTACAAAAACATTTCTAATATAATAATAACATTTATTGCTATTCCTACTCAACCTAGGATGAACTACCAATGAACTACACAGAACAGAAAATATTTCAGTTACAGTGTATATTACCTGTGTGAAGTATTACAAAGAATTCAAAACATTGAATTCATATAGTAGTAATTAGTTATTATCCAAATTAATCATCGTTCATTATAAACTTCTCTTTTAAACATTACATTTGTGTGCACTGACAGTGTATCTTCTGAGGACTACCCTGGATTTATCTCAAAAGAGAGGCCTCTAGTGGACTTCAAATATTTTTACAGCGTATGTACAAATGATAAAGAAAACCTTATCAGGTCAAAGTACAGTAGGGATATCAGGAAAAAATGTCTTTCAAACTTACATCCTTCCACTTATCAGTTTTTAATTCATCCTTAAAATACTGGTTTAATATTTTATATATTTATAGAGATATGAGAAACAAACTCAAAATACCAGCCAAGACATTTCAAAAATAATAAAGGACCATAAGCCTTCTATTATAAATTTGCATTATTTAAAAAGTCCTCTTCCACCTACATAAAATTCAGCAAAAACTTAAATCAGCTAAGAGATTTTAATTTGTGCACATACCGTATGCTGCTTCCTGGGCTCTCTGCCTGTAAAGAGGAAAAAAACAACATATCCACACAATTAAGACCCTCTGAGAAAACTCAAGGATTATTTATGACATTGAATTCAAAACACAATAATTTTGCCTGAGAAAGTAACTCAAAGTCAGCACATCCTGAACACTCGAGAGGTCTTGTGGCTCTCCAGAGCCAGAAATGAGTAGTACTGCACTTCGGGCTTGCTCGGGTACTGCAGAAAGGCACCAAACAGTGGAAGTACCACAACACACAACCCATGCTTGCCAGGTGTGATGGGTAGAATGTGTAAATCCTTACCAAAATTTTCTTTTAAAACGTGTGGATTTACAGCTTTTTCTTTTTTAAAAATGATGCTTATTTGTGCACACACTAGTCAACCCTGTGAAAGACGATATTGATGATATTTGTAAAACATCTTCATCATAAAATCATCACCACAAAAATCAATTAAACACTTCTAGTGTGAGACTGAATAGGAGATGGGATGGCTAGAAAATTTAGATTATTAGGTGAAAAATCTATGGTGGAACAGGACACTGTGTACAGAAGGTTTGCAATATCTTCAATGTCTCCAAGAACATGAAACCTTTCCAAAATCAACCTGCTACAAATGCTCTTCCACACACAAGTTTGTTTAATGTATAATTTATATACCATATATACCTATACCATGCAAAAAACTAAACTATTTCCTATATGCTCTGAGGTTGGTAACTTTGCCTCCCACTGTATGACAGTTTTGGAATTTATCATTCGAAGTCCTAGTGTTCCAGCCATCCCACATAACCATTTCTAACAGCTGTGAATAAGGTGTACTGAGAAATGAACTGATCATTAAAAAGTATCTTTAGGTGTTAACTCACCTCATCACTCTCCACAAGATTTTCAAACTGGAAAAAAAGGAGAAAATCCTTTACTCCTTTATTTTGTATGACACTAAAGGTTTTTATAAATACATTGACTAAAACATATCAGTCAAAGCAAAAGGGCATAAAGCGATTTCCTTCATTAGGGACAAATTTTAAACACTATCCATGGACATATTTTGATAAATTGACTCACTGACTTAGCCAGCAGCCATGTCACCCTGCAACTCACATCTGGCAACCCGCTGAAGCTCAGCAGGTGTGAGCCTGGTCAGTACCTGGACGGGAGACCTCCTAGGAAAAACTAAGGTTGCTGCTGGAAGAGGTGTTAGTGGGGCCAGCAGGGGTGCATATATGCGAGTCCCAATGCCCCAGTACAGTGACAAGGACACTATACCGTAAGCAGGCGCCATCCTTCGGATGAGATGTAAAACCGAGGTCCTTACTCTCTGTGGTCATTAAAAATCCCAGGGTGTTTGCCGAAAAGAGTAGGGGTGTAACCCCCGCGTCCTGGCCAAATTTCCCATTGGCCCTTACCAATCATGGCCTCCTAATAATCCCCATCTATGAATTGATTTCATTACTCTGTTCTCCTCCCCGCTGATGTGTGGTGAGCATTCTGGCGCACTATGGCTGCTGTCACATCGTCCAGGTGGATGCTGCACATTAGTGGTGATGGAGGAGAGTCCCCATTACCTGTAAAGCGCTTTGAGTGGAGTGTCCAGAAAAGAGCTATGTAAGCGTAAGCAATTCTAGTCTATCTCTTACTCTGTGATGACTAGCAATGTATTCTATGAACATACATTTTCAACCAATCTTCTTTTGTGTGGCTGATGTATATGCAGAACAACAACGACAACTGTAATGTGTAGGTGGTTGGAGTAGACATTGTGAGGAGCAGAAGTGTATCCCTATATGATACCTGATTCATTTTTGTAGATTGGGCATATCGTCACTATGTACTGTATTCCTTGACCTATTCTGACTCACTATAGTGAACAACATTTTATAGTTTTCAAAGTGTTTTATTTGACATTTACTGTACATCACTGGTACTTTAAAGCACTTTCAGTAGCAAACAGTTACATAATGAAATATTATACCTCTATGGTGAAGTGCTCCCCTGCGGCACTCGTTCGAAAGTACTTGGACCTACAAAAAGACAAAAAAATAATATTGTTAAACAGGTCTTATAAATACTGTAATTAAATATCCATGTTTGAATTATGTCAAATTAGAGCAGGATACGTTCTCTATTTTATTATGCTAGAAAGCGAAACAACGGTCTGTTCCATTGTTTGAGGTTAATAACCTGAATAACCAGTCTTGTAAAACCCATCCATTTTCTAACCACTTTATCCAATTCAAGGTCACTGGGGAGCCAGAACTTATTCCAGCTAGCAACAGGTCCAATGCAGGATAAACCCAGGATGGGATGCAACCCCAAGGTTCTATCACACCAAACCTGGACAGTTTGCTATGTGTTTTCAAGCTACTGTGGCTTGTTATCATACATTTCACAGCCATAAAAGGAAAAATGCTATTTGCTTCACATGTAGTCTGTAAATTTACCATATTTCAAACAGAGATAATGTAGTATATCAAGCACCTCTACTTTGTTTTTGAATATGCTTGTTGTAGACAAGCAGTCACTTCACTTTTCTCAAAGTAAAACCCAATGTGATTGGAATGAGCCTACAGCAGCACAGAGTTTTTCAGGAATTACATTCCTGAATCTGAGTTATGTTCTACTGGAATACAAATCTTAAGAAAAGTTCAAACTTTCACATATTATCTTTTGTATAATGTGCATACAGGGCCTACCCCAGCACTTCCATACCTGAAAGCACACAAAAGCACCTCCTTCTCATTGTTAACATTCATTATTATCTGAAAATAATGCAAATTAGTTTACAGATCATTGAATGAATTTCGTCTTTTCTAAAAGCTGCTTTTAAAAGCCATTTTAAGTGTTAACGTTTCGTGAATTACAGTCAACAAAACAAATCTGGGTGGGAAATCATTAAGTTTGAAAGGTTTTAGTAGTTCAGGTGGGTAGCTGCGTCAGCAAGCGTAGGCTGCAAAGGAACAAGTAATAGGTTTATTCCATGCTGAAAAAAAGAAGAGAAAAAAAACACAACGTTTCGGCCATGGAGCCTTCTTCAGGTGTCGAAAGGTTTGAAAGGTTTTGCTTTGTAATGGTTCAAACTACAGAAAATAAAGTGCCTACTAAATTTCCACATTTTGTTACACTAAGACTATATTAATTATACGCAGTCGCTGACCACATTTTAGTGATATAGAGTCAAATGAATGTGGTAGGAAACGGGTGATTTGTTTGGCCCACTGGTCAACCCAAATGTTACTATTGTTCTCTCAAAAGCCAAATGGCAGTTAAAACACAAATTAGTAAAGGACAAGTCTGTCAAGTAAGAAAAAATATGAGACATAAAAGTAGTATTTGGCACTTCCGACTGATCTCAGTTCAAATGGAATCAGTTATTTGCCTCCTAGGGTGTGACAGTTTGCCTATTCCCGAGTGTCCCACGTGATACAGTGTGAAAGGAACAGGTCACTCCTGTCATGACTTCACTGGATACACTGAATTTGTCATAGTTAAAACTTGAGACCGTTTATATGAACTTAGATGTGCAAAAAATGTTAAACCTAGAGTAATTACATTAATTTATTATACCTATATATTTGACGATATCTACAGTACATGACATCCAAACTACTGATTTCAATACTGTACTTGTATAGCTGTGTAGACAATTTTTATATCATTATATATGTACGGACTACTCAAACTGCCGTTTACACGAAGATTAGTTATTATACAAGTCCGTAATACTGATTTTTTTCCTCTGTTACAATGCCACATAACCATGACGACAGCAAATGAGCACCATAGTAACAATACTTCCGCAAAACGATTGATTTGATCACATGAGCGTCACAAAAATGCCTAAAGTCGCCAATGCACGTCCCATTCAACTAAACACAAAAGCGACTGAAGCACAACTCTTTACTGCAAGTGAATACCTCGGTGTACTTTGTAATAGTTTACCTATTAAACATTCAGATACAATTAAACAGCGTACTTGCCAAGCCTACCTCGGAAAATGAAATGCTGCATCAGTTGTAATGCTAAATACTAACTTAACGACAGGCGCAAATACTTATTCTATCGGGACCGTGGTTTCCCTAATTAAAAACGCACAAACGAGGCTGGAAATTAAAGTATTGGCTTACTTACCCACCACCTCTTTGGATCCTGTTAGTTTCCCTTTTGAAGACCCCGCAGCACCAAGCCCAGCAATTCCCCATTGCATACTGACTCAAACCTGAACAGCAGTGCACACCTCGGAGCGTGCCGCTCTAAAAGCACAATTAAGGGAAATGGGATTCTTCACAACAGAAAATCTCTCTTCCTAGTTATATTTGCATTGATCGCGTTTATGCCCCACATACTTGCAATAAACGCGCTCTTCTGTCAAACAGCATATGCCTATTTTCCGAGCATATCTCTCATTGTTCGCCACTTCCTGAAACGCCCACGAGTCATGTTTTTGCGACGTACGGAATGCCATCTGGGTCAAAATGCGCAAATACGCAAAAAGCGAAAGGGACGTTTTTAACCATAGAAGACCAGTCAGTATGATGGTAGTGAAAGCTGTGTGTCTTTGTTCAGGGGAAAACATGCGAATATGGGTAACACGTTGTCCTGGTTAACTATAATTATAGGCGTAAATTCAATGAGACCAATATTTTTGTCCGTGAAACATTCCCAAGTGGGCACAAGACAGGATGAGCCTTACACATTGATTTTAAAATGAAATAAAATGAACACGTGAAATAACATTGCTATATTGTCCCTTTGTCAACCAAAAGTTCCACTGAACAGTTACTCAGCACTACTGACGTTTTGCAAAGTATCCACCCATGCTGTTTCTGATATGGAATCACCACCTCAAGAAAGATTTGGTAGACACATACATCTGTCCATTTTCTAACCACTTCTTCCAATTCAGGGTTGCAGAGAGCCAGAGCCTATCCTGGCAAGCAATGAAGCAAGGCAGGGTACACCCGGGATGGGACGTCAGTCCATCGCAGGGCACAAACAGACACACACACTCACACCAGTGCCAATTTCCCAGAAGCCAGTTAACCTACCAGTACATCTTTGTAATGTGGGAGAAAACCATAGCATCCAGAGGAGATGCACATGATCACAGGAAAAACATAAAAACTCCACACATGCAGCATCTCAGGTCTGGAATTGAACCCATGGCCCCTACGCTGCAAAACAGCAATGCTAATCACTGCACCCCCATGCAACCACTAGAACCGTACATTTTCTTGTAAAATTATTCACCTCCCTTTAAAAGATTGTTCCAGTTTGGTAAATTAAAAATAATGTGAGCACATTTTTGAAAGTGAACATTTTTAATCAAAACTTGAATGTTCCAGATCAGTTGTGTCCCAAAGCTGGGCGCCCATGTTATATGATTTGAGTGTGTCGCAATTTCTAATATATCCACCAGATGGCATCGATTGTCATCCACTTTTGGCGACTTTAAATAAGTTATAACTACAATAGAAAAGATACAGTAAATTATTTATATCAGTTATTGTTTTAAACTCCACGTTTGCTACAGATTTCTTCTGCCTTTTGCATTTTTCACACAGAGGTTTTCCAAGGCTCCATATGGTTTTTAATACATTTTACTGCATTGCCAATGCATGCAAACTGAGGTAGCGATTTTTAATTGTAATACCTGCAACAGATAATTCATTTTTCTTTCCAAAGCAGTGCTTACTCTTTGTTACTTAGATTATCTCAGTCTGGTTGTTAACAGTTTGTCTCCACACAGCATTTTAAATAAATGAAACACTTAAATGTTTTACATTAGGATACAATCACTAATTCACCAATAGGTCACTGACATTCAAGTAGCTATATATCAACACTATGATTGTTAAAATATTTATATCAACATTCTATAATAATACAGCAATTTAAAGAAATTCTTTAACCTAACATTTTATTTTGCATTCTTTATCAATATTGCACATAATATTGTTCATGCATACCTATCAATAAATTATTCTATAGCCTAGTGTTTCAATATACAGGGACATCAAGAAAGTTTTGGTCATCTTATTTGATCATGTTTCTTCTCCAAAAGATGTGGGGTTGGTACTATTACAACAGTAAATGTTATAATTTTGTTTTACCACCTTACCAATTCTGTACTTTGTATTCTGTACTCTTTATTCGGGATAAAGGTAAAAACAAGGATCTCCAAAGTGAAAAACCCAGACATACTAGGGCATTGCAGAATAGCTGTTGGATGCCACAGCACAATTTAAAAAACGATACAAGCTCTCAATGTGGATTGAGCAAAGTTAAACAATATTCCTTATAATACAGTATTTCTTGATTCTGTATGTTGTATTGGTTCCAAATATTTATATTATTAATAAACATTATATGCAAAAAAATTAGTCCTTCCTCGAAGACTCTGTTTACAATGTAATCTATTCAAGCCTTTGGATATGTGAATTGTCTTCCAAAAGTCGAACAAAGACACCAAGGAGGGTAGTGATGTTCAAGTAAAACAAATATGCACTTGACAGATTTTTAGGGAAAAGAGTTCCATCAAAAATGTAAATGAAAAGTCCATGGTTTATTTGAATTTAATTGAAATCAGTTTTATTAAATTAAATTGAACTGAATTAACCTCTATTGCCCTAAGGGCATTTGTCCTGCACAACCAGAGCTCATAAACATATTACATATACAACAATATAACAATACAACAACAGTACAATACCATACAAAACAACAATATACTGCAAAGCACAATATCGCTGTGTCAGAACTCTTTAACAAAACAGACAATTTGCTTATAAAGAATCTAAATACAATAATAATAAGATCCCTACGTGCAAACACGTTCTCTTAGTCTTTATACAGGGATGTGATACAGTACCTCATCCCAGAGGGTATACTCTAAAAGGGGTGGATGAGCGGAATCATCTCAGATTATATGTGCAAGATTAATAATACTGTTTGTCACTCGTTAGATATGTTATTGAGTCTAAGAATGCGCAGGTAATCTTGTCACCAGTCTCTATCACTTTGTTCAACTTTATTTTTGTTAAGCAAGAACAGGGCACCTCCCCAGATTTTAATACAAAAGGTTTACATGTTCTGAATAAAGCTCTTATAAAAAGTGTCAACTTTATGCTTTCTACATTACAACTCCTTAAAGTCGTAAAAATACAACATTTTTGAATTATTCTGACACTTATAAGAAAATTGATTTATCTAGTTACAAACATGAAACTGACCACATCTATTTTAGATTCTGTCCAACTGTCCTCAATATTATAAATGAATCCTTGAGCACGGTCCTCAAAACTGCTGCCAATACCCCTGTGCCAAAAAAGCCTAACTTGGCTCTCGACAATCTCGACAATCTCTTGACAATAATTTTCACCCCATCTCCAAACTTACCCTTTCTTGCAAAAGTTCTAGAACGTGCTGTCACATTTCACTTACATAACCACCTCATGACAAATAACCTTTTTGATCCTCACTAACGATCTTCTAATAGCTTCTGATTCTGGTTCTCTTTCTATACTCGTCCTTCTTGATCTCAGTGCTGCTTTTGACACTGTTGACCATAACATCTTACTTTCTCGTCTTGAGACTGTGTTTGGAGTTTCTGACACTGCTCTCAAATGGTTCAAGTCTTACTTCACTGTTCGCTGTCACTTTGTCTCTCTTAATGGATATAGGCCTGAAATTGGTCTTGCTAAATCTGGTATTCCTCAGGCCTCAATACTGGGCCCCTTGCTCTACAGCATTTACATGTTTCCGCTTGGTCAGCTTTTAAGATCACATGGCCTCAGCTATCATTTCTATGCTGATGATACTCAAATATACATCCATACCAAACATGTCACTGATGTGGCTGCCTTTATTCTATCTAATTGAATCTCTGACATAAAAACTTATATGACTCAAGACTGAAGCCGAAACTTTGTGTTGTCTCTCTTTTCTTTTCACCATGGAATAAACCTATTACTTGTTACTTTGCAGACTACACAAGCTGATGCAGCTACTCACCTGAAAAACTGAAGACATGCTCATTGGCACCCCCCATCAACTTCGTAAAGCCAATCCTGTATCCCTATCTGTAGATGGATCTGTACTTGAGCTTCAGTCTAAATTGAAAAACCTTGGTTTGATATTCGATTCTGGCTTAACATTCGACCCACATGTGCAGCATATTGTCAAAACATCTTTTTTTCACCTCAGAAATATTACTAAACTACGCCCTATGTTATCACTAACTGTGGCTGAAAAGCTGATCAATACATTTGTGTTCTCTCGAATTGACTACTGTAATGCTCTACTTGCTGGGGTAGAGTATCTAAATCTACTTTGAACGAACTGCAGTATGTTCAAAATTCGGCAGCCAGAATCCTGACCAGGTCTAGTGCAAGTGATCACATTACTCCTATCCTGAAGTCCTTGCACTGGCTTCCTGTCAAATTCTTTGTGGTCTTTAAAATCCTCATGCTTACCTATAAGGCTCTGCATGGATTGGCACCTCAGTACCTGTCTGAACTATTATCGCCCTACTCCCCACCTCGCAACTTTTGCTCTTCTAATTCTGCTCTTCTTACTGTCTCCCAAGCCCGTCTACATTGAATGGGTGACAGAGCCTTCTCCTGTTATGCCCACAAGCTCTGGAACTCTCTGCCCAAGGATATCAGAGAGTCACCTTCTCTAAACCTAAGACTCAAAACCTTCTTCTTTAGAAAAGCCTTTACTTAACTGGTTCCATTCTTTACCACTCTGTTTCTAGTTTTCTTAGTACCACCATCTACAGTCTCCTCTGTGTATTGTAATTGTGTTTTATCTTGTGTATTCTTTTTATTTATTATCGTTGTCATTCTGTAAAGCGCTTTGAGAAGCCACCTTTAAAGGCGCTATATAAAATAAAGTTTATTATTATTATTTGTTTTTTTTTTTTTTAATTAATCTCCTTCTGTTATTTTTTCATCATCATTCAAAAGTCCAGTCATGGCAACATCATCCACAAACTTAATAATCAAACAGTTGTCATAGTGGCTTACACAATTATTAGTTTGCAATATAAAAATCAACAGGGACACCACACAGCCTTGGGGTACCCCAATTCTAGCGCTGATGGTGAGAGACTTCCCCAAGCTTACTCACACACAACAAAAGTGTATATATGGGTAAGTGTACAATACAGTCCCATATCCAAAAGTTTCCCTACCAACCTGTTTGCCTGAATAGTGCTACTGTACATGTCGATGAAAAGTCATGACGTTTCTAAATGCTTGTACTCATGATTTAACAAGGTCACAGTCACATTTTCAACTCCTTGTTTTACCCTGAACGTAGACTGATAGGGTCCTCAGGTGAAATGGTTACCAAATGAAGATGGAACAAAACAATTTGTTCAAAACATTTAATTGCTACTGAATTTAGTGCAAACTCTGGGTAGAATTGCAGATGGTT